GTAGCAAATAAATGTAAGTATCAAAAAACCAAACTTACGTTATTAAGATGCTCGTTTAATTCAGGAAAAAGATGCAAAAAACATGTTGCAAAAAAAACACCCCCGGAAAAGCAGGTAAGCAAGCATAATAAAAGAGAAAAATTTCTGCGTTTTGCCGAAGTCGACGCTGTCGCAGCGCTTTTTCGTAATAACTTCAACAGCTGAAAAATTTTGGTTATTACATAGCCGTTACAAAAATGCATGAAAAATAAAGAAGAAGATAAAACAACCATTTTTATTTCTATGCATAGTATCAACAACGATGTAATGACATCCTGCACAATCTAGTAACATTCTTTAAATTTCAAATAATAAAAGTATTACGAGTAGGAAAACAAATGAAAACAGTACCCTAACAGGAAGCATCCCAGCTATGAAAGTAACTGCTATCATAATTAATAGCAACAATATTTTCAACCATATGATATCCATTCTAACCTAAAAGCAAATATTGTATCAAAAGTATTAAACGGGAAAAAAATGAACGGATGTAACAAGAGTGCCATAATCGGCGTACTCCGCACCAAACCAGATTTGCATTAGTTCATAAAAGTAAAAAAGCAGCAAGTTAGAATAAACAAACAGAAAAGCAATAAAACAAGACTATCTCACTCCCAAATGCAAAGACCTCTTGAACACCACAACTTAACAAACAAATTATCTTTATCAAAAATTATTGTTGAATAAACTCGCTATACACTACGTCCCAGTTATAATAAACAAATACATATCAGAAGCTTAAAAAACTTGTCCTTACTGCCTGTATTATAAATTTGAGGCAAAAATCACTACCACTCCTAGCATACTACTTCCCCATACTTTTCTCCTCTATTATCATATATATATTTCAATTATCACAAGTATTAACAGTGATAAACAAATAATGAAAACTGCTCTTAAGATATTAAGCCCTACCAAATACTGAATACGATGTTAGATTTTTTGATAATCGCTGCACGTTTCTTTATTGATTGTTTCTGTCGGTTAATCGTTATTTTCTTCTAGAAAACACATGCCAAAATCCTGAGATTGTCTGCTGAATAGCTGATTCTT